AGCCAGGGTTGTGTTTAATGTCCTTCCACACTGTCGACTCCCTTTATATCAATTCATGCAATGGGCTCGCCATTGCATTGAGATTCATAGATTCGTGCAGGAACGTGGAAAATAAGGGTCAATTCTCTTTATTATTTTCAAGTCGTTTGTTGTTTTCGATTTTTCAAAATAGTAAAAATACGTTTTCTATCCTATTTTCGAAAACGCGTTTTTTAAGAACAAGTTAAAAATTTACAAAAAAAAAAAAACACACAAAACGACAAGGTGTTTTCAGTTATAATTAAGTCAAAATTTTCAAAACGCATTTTGGGTGTTTTCAAAATAATTTTTCAAAATACCAAAAAGTATATACTTTCAACAATTTGAAAATGAACACTCAAAACACAGAGAACGGTCCTTAAATTTTTTAAACAAATCGTACACAAAGAAACACGTATATTATACTATTACAACAAGAAACCCAAGAGTGCAATAGATCGACAACAGATCTAATTATTATAAATCAGGAATTAACCAGAGACATCTCAGCATAGATTGTTTTGGGGTTCAGGAATTAACCAGAGACATCTCAGCATAGATTGTTTTGGGGTTCAGATCATTGTGCCCCCTACAAGCCAGAACCACAAGAAATCCCGAACCCTAGAGTAAGTGACGCTACTTCAATGAGCTAGAAAAGATCACCCAAGACCACTCCCTTTTCTTCTCTCTTTATAGAATCACACATACTCGTACTTAGACACCACACAGGATTACTCTATCGAGAATATGAGTTTTAACAGAGACGAAGAAGAAAAAACCAACAGACTCTTCCACAGAGAGAAAAGAAGAAGGCTCAAGAAGAACATATTTCAGGAGAAAAAAGGAAGAATTATTCTATGTGTACATTATGGGATCCATAATGTACACATAACACCTCTCAATAAGGAAATACTGTAAGACCCTATATTTAGCGCACACACTAATCATTGATCTTAGATGATCATCAATGGCTCTAAGCAGCTAACAACTTGTGCATTTAGAGGCAACTTAAGTCACACTTGCAAAATGCTTTTTCTCTTATGGATTTGGGTTTTAGGCCCCAATTTGGATTATCAAGCAATGGGTCATAAATAGCCTACAAATGTGACAAGCCCAGCTTCTTCATTACCCCATTATTGGACTAAATACCACGAGCATCACAACCCAATAAATCTTCACCTTGATGCCAATGGTAACAAGACTATGTACATGATAAAGATAACACTAAAAATTTAGGATCAACTTTATAATCCTCCATCTGCATTAAGTGTAAAGTACCTGCAGTGAAATACAAAATTATCTAGTAAACAAGATTTGAACTTGTAGCAATACATTTGTTCCCATATCAGCAGAATTGAATTGGATGGGAATTTTTTTAAGTAACACGGATTCTTTAACAATTACATCGCTAATAAAATGCATTATAACATCTATGTGTTTAGCTTTTACACAAATGAATTGTTCTCTGACTATCTAAATAAACTACCACAGGATTAGATGATTCTTATCTCAAATAATAAACCTTTTAGCCACATTGCTTCTTTCATGGCTTCAGTTGCAGCCACATACTCAACTTTGTGGGGTTGATAAAGCTACAATTGATTGCAACTGAGACTTCCAACTAATGCAGGTACCACACAAAGTAAACATATATACAGTAGTTGATTTATATTGTTCCTATCTACGACATAGTCAGAATCAACAAAACCATTCAACACAGTCCCCTCGTTGCAAGATTTAAAACACAAACCCAATTTAGATGACCCTTTTAAATACCTCAACAACCTTTTTAAGGCGGTCCAATATTCAGGACTAGTATTGGACATGCACCTACTAAGGGTACTAATGGCATTGGCCATATCAGGTCTGGTATAGACCATAGTATATATCACAGATCCAATGGAATTGGCATATGGAACCTTACTCATGTATTAAATGTCGATTCATATATGGGG